GCAGGTGGACTCTCAACCACTGCGCCACCAGGGAAGCCCCTACTTAATCTTTTTATGCCTTGGTTTCTATATCTGTAAAATGGTGCTCATAATACTACAGCTTCACAGAGATACTGTGGTGATTAAATCAGATTAAATGCATATGAAAAAGCTTAAGCTAGTGTCTGCAATATTTTGCCAGTATTATTTTTTTTCCTAGAAATAAATACAAAGTACATACATATGTTGCTGTGAAGAAGACCAAGACTGCAGCAGCATGTGCAAAAAACAATTCTATTATTCTTATTTTTTACTTGCCATGTCTAATGACCTATCCCTGGCTTCCCTTTAAATCCATGTTATCCTCTGATCCAGTTGTGAATGTTCCTTCAGCATGTGTTTTTGACATCAATCTACTGCCATACTTTTGATAATAGCTGCAAATTAACCAGACTGAGCTAGTGGGTCATGAGCATACTTTCTATTTAGCGTTCACTAAAAATGTCTATAATAACATTAGAAAGTCTGGTTAATTTTTTTAAGAGCATAAGAGACATGAATATATTTCATCTGCTAAAGTGTTTTCCCACTGTGAGAGTCTTGCTGAGGTTCTATAGGCCAAAATCTCAACATCAGTTAAATACGTGACTGCACTTTCTCCTACTTAGTACTATGGGATGGTATCTTAAGTAAGAAAGATGTCTTGTATAGTATGTCAAAATGTTGAGCAATATCCTTTCAATCTAAACACAGAAATGAAAAAAGAGCAGATGATTTCCCTTTTGCTGTAATTCACTTTGGGATGCATGTCACGAAGAGCACTATACAAAAGCAATTTTCATTGACTGACTGACTGATTGAGGAAAAGGGTGAATGTTCTTTCCAGCTTACGTCCCTACTGAAGTATGATTCTTATAACTCCTGACAGCTCTTTACAATTTGTAGTTAAATGTCAGGTTAGCACAAAGTGGCAGGGAGGGGGAGAGAGAGCGAGGGAGAAAGAATTATAATTAGAACTTTTTCTGGTTTTTAGTACAGCTCACTTGAGCCAAATAGTTAAATAGAAGAGGTTAAGATAAATTAAAACCTAACTGTTCTAATTCCTCCATTCAGTGTACTTAAATTTTAGAGAACATAATTGCTAAAAATACCTTGTTAATAAGTTAATTGCATAATCTAATCAGTAATACTGACCATCACTTAATTCTTGTTCTACTTCTATGGAAGTTGCTACTCTTTCTAGAGCAGCTAGTTTTAATAGAAGTTATGATTTAGAGAAGCATTCAGCCTCAGTGTCCTATTCTTATAATCTGAAAGAGAATGAGTCTCATCTTTGAAATGCCCTTCTACTCTTATAAAACACGCTCTTTCATGTACCTAATTTGGGTCGATCCTTCTTTCATTCTGTGATATAACTAAATGTATGCTGACCTTTGAGTTATAGATACAAACACTTAACATGACCAGGGATAAAACTGGAAACGTTTCACGTAGAAATTTTATCTTCCAAATTACTGTAGCAGATCCATGCCTAATCACTGTTACTACTGGCCTGTTCTTAAAACTTTAGTTTATCTCTCTGACATAAAAACGTGGGAACTTTTTTTTTTTTTTGCTTAATATACGTAAACTGGGTTTTTCTCAGTTAAGTTAAAGCAATGCTGGTTAGACAATAATTCTTACTTAAAATAGATTCACTTAATTATAACAGATCTTCAAATGGATTAAATGTAATGCTTTGCCAATTTAGGTTTGTTTGCAAAATATGGAAGATGGCTTATTAGGAGAATGTTTATAAAAACACTGAAGATCTAAAGCCACAGAGCAGGTCATAATAAACACATTTTCAGGTGAGAGGCACTTAAAATGTCTTATAGGAAAGGCCTATAAGAATGTCAGAAGATCCTTTATGTGGGCTCATGCTTCATTTGCTGTGGAAGCTTGAGGAGATAACTTTTGCAACTTAGAATTGACACTCTTCATGCAACTATGCTTCCAGCCATATAGGTCCAGGTTGCGGTGGGTGGGTGGGGCGGGGGGGGGGGGGGGGGGGGGACCCCCGGGGGGAGGACAGTTCAAACTAGTAAATAATTGCAGTATCATTGCATCAGTTTAGTTTAAAGAGCTGACAAACCCTCTCTAAACTCCAAGCACAATTAGTCATTAGGGTCTAGTTTTTCAGCACTGTTAAGCAATTTGTAACCCATTCCTTTTAATAGGGTTAGGCATTACTTAACTGACACAGATGCCTTGAAAACTGAAACCCTGAGTTATGAAGCAGCAACCTTGTTCATTATCTTCTCTGATAGGCAAATCATCTGTAAAAACAGCATTCGATGGGCAATCAATGAATAATCAATGGCTCACTTTTCATCTGAGTGTGAAAATGAGAATAATCTAATATAAATTCCCTCTGGAAAGAGGCTGAAATCTTGGATTCTGCTGCTCTTCAGGGTTGATTTATAAGGTCTTGGAAAGCTGATGCAAACAGATGATCAATGGGACCCATCCCTGCTCATAATAACCCCCAACTGGCCCACTCCCTCTTTTCCAAGTCTATCCCTTCAGGCTATTAGCTGTGTCCAGCTAATTCTTCCCACTACTCCTGCCTGCTGCTTTTACTCTGGCCATCCGTTCAGTCCAGCCGACTCAGAAGTAATTTTATACGCGGCAGAGAGCGGGTGGAATTGATTTTTCACTCAGTGCTCAGTTCCCATCTGAATAATTATCAATTTTACTGCCTCATAAAGGGAAGAGTCAAAATTTCAAATCAATTCAAAAGAGCTTTTGAGACGACAGAAACTGTGCATAAGAATAGAGGTCAAAGTTGTCAGTGACCTAAGGAGATGATGTCAGATACTACTATACCCAATCATTGACAGCAGAGGCACTCAAGATGATATAACCTAGTGCTAATGCAAATCATATTTATGCTGACTACCAGAGACCGGTCATTAATATTTAAAATGCTATCTGAAAGCCTACATTCCAAATAAATAGAATGTATTCCACTGTTAATAAAGATATATCACTACTTAGTCATATGCTATAAAGTAAAGGATTATCAAGTACTATTAACATATAGAAATAACTTAAACCAACAAACGCATGGTAATTCTGAGTAAAGACAAGCTTGAATGTCTTCTGCACAACCACATTACCTGTTCTGCACAGTCGGATGGTGTTTGTCTAGGACCATAGCCTATTGATTTTTGCTAAAATTTTCTACCCACTTAAAAGTCCCTGCCGAAGTTTATGGGACAATATTGTGATCATGGTTGAGCACTGGCAGGTGGCAGACCTGTCACTTGCCACGGTGGGGTGAGGGCTGGGTCTGATTGCTGGCCAATCCATGGTTATTTATTTTCTCCACTGCCTACATGCTCTAATTTTGTGGTTCTCAGCCTTCTCGCTGCAAAACACCTGAGGGCTACGCCACACTCCCAGCAGTACCAGTGGCTACTGCAGAGGGATGGGTGAGGAGCAGTGCATCCAAATCTTGATAGAATGTGTTATTCTGAAAAGGCATTCCAGGTGAATCTGAGATCTTATCCAGCAACTAGTCTCCTGAGAATCAATGGTGTAAGTAAGTGGTAAGGACTTAGGCTTTTGAGCCAAACAGACCTTGGTTCACATTCCACTTTCCAGTTTCTCTCTCTGTGCTTCAATTTATTCATTTGAAAAATGGGGATGGTTATATCCACATTGCAGGGCTGTTGTGGGGTCTAAATGAGGAAATGTCTCTGCAAGTCCTCTCCTTCTGTCATCACTATGTTAATCCAATTATCACATAATTAGTTAGTTACTTGTCTCTCCTTCCCACCTGGCAGGACGCACTTATTTAAGGAGAGAAATTATGTCTCATGGGTCTTAGTGGCTCTCGCACCTTGTACATAGGAAGTCCTCAATAAATGGGAGTTACCTTCCTCCTGGTTAATCACCAACATGTTGTAACAATTCCAGGGTCATACCAAACAGTTACAGGCCCAGAGCCCTTTGCTTATTTACACAAAATCTTAATCACACACCTCCCTGCCAGGAAAATAACTGGTTAACTGAAACATCACCACAAATAAAGTTTACATAATGTCATTTAAATATTAGCAAAAAAATGACAGCTAGGAAGAAAACCTTTTCCATGGCTGTGTTATTCATTTTCATCATTTATTTACTCAGACTGACACTTTTTTGCTGATTGCAGGTGACTTATTTGCTGGCTAATGACCAGGTTAAAGTGTTTATATTTGCAAACCACAGACTATTATGGAGATAATTTGGCAAAATAAGACAACTGGAAGCAGTATAAAGATATCACTTTCCAAATGTAGTAGAACTGGAATATATCATAGCGATGCTATCTCCACAGTAAAATGGTATTATTCTCTTTGAAACATTTCTGGCATATATTATTTAATTTTATGCATGCTGTTACTGTGATTTGCAGAAGTTTTTAAAAAATATTAAAACTTGGACCTAATTCATATTAGCTAGTCAGAAGACATCTGAAAATAAACTGTGGCTTTATTACTTATTATTTAAATGTTTGTGGGAATATGACCTATCTGAACCTTGATTTCTCATCTTAAAATGGGGAAAATGATATGATGAAGGGAAAGTTCCCAGCAAGTTGCCTGGCACAGACTAGGAGCCCAGAAAATGGCAGTTTCTCAACATACCAGAGTATTCACAAGGCAAACCTAAGAAGACGTTATTAGAGGCTCTGGGAAAGAAATCAGAGGTTGACTGTTTCTAGTTCCAGCTTTGACTTTTATTTCTCTTGTCTCTGGAAGAGCTATCCTCTTTTTGAATGCTAGCTTCACTGAGGTGAGATGAATGACTCAGATTTCTGGAGGGTGGGTAATCCTGACGCCAGCGTACTATCCTCCCTACAGGGAAAATACTCCTAGAGAAGACCCAGTAAAGAGTCTTGGCAAGACCAGTTGCTCTAAGGGATATTCAGAGACCAGATTGGCTTTTGGGAAACTCTTCTCTCTTAAGCTAGATAAGCAACCACCAGTTACCTGCTGCAGGACCTCTGGATTTTGCTGCATAAAATGTAATAGTCTCTGACCAGCCTGGGCAGCCTCTCTGCATCGAAGTGGCTTCCTGCCCTCTTTTGCTATGTGCTTGAAGAGGTAGGTGACGATGTAGTCTAAACTGGTACAGCAGCTGGAGGAGACAACTGTATCTGTGTGAACAACAAATGAGAATTCATTTGTATTACTAAAGTGTTTGTTTCATCTCACTATAATGCCTAAATTAAAAAAAAAAAAAAACAACTTTCTGGTTTCAAAGCACTTTAATCAAACTGTAAACTCCTTGAGGGCCAGGATTTTTGCCTTGCTTTTATCTCTTTAAACCCAATGTCTACTACAGGACCTGGAATAGAGGCATGTTAGTAAGTAAATGATTCCTGGATTGCACTGGACAGAATTTTCCATATGTGACCTTAACGACTCTCTGTTCAATTGAAGTGACTTTATTAAATATCTACTTGGTGCAAACTGCTCTGCTTCAGGGGAAACAGGGTGTAAACTTGCTGCAAAGTACTTTGGTTCAGAGGAAACACTCACCCTGGTGTCAAAGAGCTCATGATTTGGTACATAAGTCACTAGCACAGTGCTGTGCAAAAATGAGTGACACACTGCTGTGAGAAATTTGAGGGAGATATTGTACTTGGATGAGGATTAAGGACAGTTTGGTGAAGGAGGTAGCACCTGAGATGGGCTTGGAAAACTTATTCCAGTTAAACATAAGGAAGGACATTTGTCACATTTTGCACAATGTACATAGTAGGGTGAAAAGGTATGGATTTTGAAGCCAGACAGCTCTGGTTTCAAATTCCATCTTTTCCAGTTATTTGCTGGGTTGTTACTGTGAAGGAGCCAATTAACCTTTCTCATCATTTATAAAATATGCCGCAGAGTTGAATGAGGAGAAAAATAACTAGAAATCCTCACAGTAAAAATAACTGACCTAGAGGGTATTATGCTAAGTGAAATAAGTCAGACAGAGAAAGCCAAATACCACATGATTTCACTTATACGTGAAATCTAAAGAAAAAAACAAATGAACAAACATAACAAGAGAGAAACAGTCATAGATACAGAGAACAAACAGGTGGTTGCCAGAGGAGGAGTTGTGGGGGCGGGGAGATGAGAGAAATAGGTGAGGGAGATGAAGAGGTACAAACTTCCAGTTACAAAATAAATGAGTCATGGGGACAAACTGTACAGTGTGGGTAATATAGCCAATAATAATATCTTAGTATGGTGACAGATGGTAACTAGACTTACCACAATATTTTATCATTATCTAATGTATAGAAATATTGAATGACTATGTTGGGCACCAGGGACTAACATAGTGTTGTAGGTGAATTATACTTTAAAAACAAACAAACGAACAAACTCACAGAAGAAGAGATCATATTTGTGGTTATCAGAGGCAGGGGTTAGCAGGAGGGGGAACTGGATGAAGGTGGTCAAAAGGTATAAAGTTCTCATTATAAGATAAATAAGTACTAGGAGTGTAATGTACAACATGATTAATATACTAACACTGCTGTATATTATGTATGAAAGTTAGGAGAGTAAATTCTAAGAATACTCATCACAAGGAGAAAAATTGTTTTCTTTTTCTTTTATTTTGTACCTATATGCGAAGATGGATGTTCACTAAACTTACTACGGTAATCATTTCGGGATGTACGTAAGTCGAATCATTATGTTGTACACCTTAAATTTGTATAGTGTCGACTGTGTCTCAATAAAACTGGAAGGAAAAACATATGGCAGTTACTACTAATTTTCCCTCATAGTGAAAAAAGGGGAGCAGGACCTTTTGGTGTGAGTAAAAGCATGTGTAGAGAAATCATAAGAGAGAAGGCTGACAAAATAGTTTGGGATCTTGCTTGAGGGCATCCAGTAGTAGGTCGAGACATTTACGTGTAATTTGAAAGGCAACAGAGGTGTTATTGAAGGTTTTTTTTTTTTAAGCAAGTAAGTGACATGATTCCTTTGTACACTAAATATCATTTCATATACCTCTAATAACCACTTCTGTATACAGTAGGTACTGTTGTTTGCATTTTTCAAATGAGAAAAATGAAGCTCAGAGAGAATTAGCTTATCCAAAGTTCATGGTTTTGATTCAGAGCATGACAGTGCCCAGATTTTTTGGCTAATGGTAACATACGGACACAACTCTGGGGAGTTTATGATTAATAACGGAAACAACAAGACAAACAAAAACGTGATGGGCACTCAAAAAACGGCAAATTTAGTAGATTCAGAAAAGAAGTAGATTGGGAGAGTAGGGCTGGGAAGCAGATTATAAACTTCCTAAGGCAACAGTTACTTTCTTATTCATTTTACTCATCTCTAAGGTTCTGAGACATATGTGGGCTTGTCATAGATTAGAGGTGAAATATTAGTTGATTTAATTAAAGAATGGGTAGGCAAAGCTAATCTGAGAGAGCTTTTTTTAAAAAGTCTTGAGTCTTGTTTAGTAATAATACTAGAATTGATATAACACTACAATTTAAAGACTCTCACATACATTGTTTTAGAGAGGAATGACATAGTAAATAGAGGTAGGTTTGGGGACAGGTTTTGAAATACAGAAGTATGCATTTAAAATAGACGATAATGGTAGCTGACACAGGATCATGAGGGGTTGAATGAAGGTCTAAAAGATGGGCATGGACAATAGTTTTGGGAAACTGTGGAGCTATAGGCTTTTGAGAAAGGAGCTTTTATTTCCTTCTAAAGCTATGGCAGTTCATTGACTGACTGACTGACTGATTATCTCTCCCCACTAACTGGGTTACTTTGCAGAAAAGGAAGCTTTGGTTTTATAAGCCTGGGAGGTAGTACGTAATGTAGTAGAAAACATTTAGGCCTAAGAATCAGGCACAGACTTTTTGAACCTCTTTGCTTTTCTCTCTTCCTTCACATTTCCACCTTTGAAGTCCCAATCATGAAAGTAAATGGATTAAGTAACTTAACATGTACAAAAGGAAGCAAGCAGGAAATAGATACGGTTCCCCTCACCAGTGAAGAGCAATATGCTATCAATCATACAAAAATTATAAAGACTTCACATAGATTTGGTGACCACATGCCATGAAGGTTGCATTAAAAGGTTCCAATCTACTGAGTCAGCTATGAAAAAGCCAGGTAAACACTTTAGACATGAAGGTTGGAGCATATATCCTTGCAGTAAAAGCAAGAAGAAGAGCTTTCATTATGGCTGATTTATTGTTGGGGGCTTTGAAAAGGATAAATGTTACTTCAGGGTAGACTGAAAAGTGTGGAATCATAAGGATCATGGGCCATTTGATCAAAAACAGAATGAACAGTGATGAGGACTATGTATTATTTTTAGTTTTCTCTATTTGCAGCTCAAGCTATTGGGTGAGATTCGAACAATGAAACTCTCCTGAAATAGAAGAATGAGCAGAAGTCATGAATTTTCATATTTTGTCCTATAGCTCTTGGTGTCTATCATCCATGATTTAGACAATTTTGGACAGATTTTTTTAAGCCCAACAGGCACTTTGTCCTCTCTAGCAACTTACTGTTTGGCACTGAAACAACCAAATGCCCCTTTTCTTCTGCAACTAGTCTCCATGGGAAGCATATGCATCATTAATAGCCCTCTTGTTCACTAAGACCCATCATAGAAAGCTGTTCTGTAAAGTTAACTGTATAGGAAAGAGTTGCTTAACTGAGAGTCAGAAGAATGATAATGGGGTTGAAATTACATTTGGCTTTGACTCAAAATTTCTCACCATAGCAGAGGGGAGGATGAAGGTCTTGGAAAAATATAGTGTGAAAGGCAATTTCAGAAACAAAAGGCCTATTTGGATGGTGCAGCAGTTTAGGGTTAAATCTGTTCTTCTAGATGTTTGACTATACGAAGATTCAATTCCCACCTCTGTAAAATGTGTTTAATACCACCTACTTTGTTTTGAGAAATTAAAGATTAAAGACAAAAAGTGTGTAAAGATTGTAACATAGTGCCCAACACTAGTAGGTTTCCTCCTTTTCACTTCCCATTTGTTTTCCTGGCTATTTCAATTCCTGAAACACCAAGCCTGTCATTCTATTTAGCCAATCCATAGCTTTCTTCTCTCCTTAGCATGTTTCTGGTGGAAGAAACTAATGAACAAGGTCTCTAAGTTTCTACGTATTTCCTGAATGTTTTATTTCTATATTACATTTATAATATTTACTCCATCCAATTCAAGAATGTGTTCATGACAATAACATACACCCTTTATTTATAATGAACATTTTATTAATAATGACCTTGATGGGGAAATTTCTGGTGGTTTCCAGTTGGTTCAACTTTTAGCTTGCCCCCACCTTCCCTTGTCTTGTCTTCTGTGCCATCCTTTGCTTTCCTGGAAGGCACCCCCATTCCTGCCAGGGCTCATCTTCAGAGGCCTTCCCTGATCACTTCTAAAAAAGCCATACAATCATTCCTTCTTCATTATCCTATTTTAAGTCTTTGTTTAGCACTTATCATGACTTGACATTTTCTTGTGTATGTGTGTGAGTGTGTGTGTGTGTTTACTGTTATATCTCCTCACTAGAATATAAACTTCACATGAGCAGAGACCTTATCTATCTTGTTCTCTACAGCACTCTCAAGGTCTAGAATGGAACCTGGTATATAGCATGTGCACAGCTGATGTTTACTAAATGAATGAGTTGAGAGTCATTATTAGAAGCAGCTTTTTGTAAGCCCCGTGCTTGGTCTCTGTATGTAAGAGTATGGGGGTAGGTGGTGGTGGTGGTGGTGGTGGTGGTGGTGGGTGATTAAAAACATGGAAAATATAATATATAAATACAATCACTTTTTCTTTTCACAAATTATAGCTGGCCTGAAACTAAAAATGCTAGTGAATGATTAACTAAAAAAATTTAATATCATGTTAAGCATATTATCTATCATTGGTTCAACTTTTCTGTACCTCCCTCTCATTTTTCCCACTGAGGCTATAGTAGAACTGAAGCCTGCCTGTAACCCAATTACTGCCTCTTTGCAAATTTTTCATTGTTGGAAAAGGAGAAACCCAAGTGGTTACGTTCAACAGTCTAAATAATCCTCTTTCTTGAAGACACAGGGCACAATTCATCCATCTGACCTTTATCAGATGGATCCAGCAGGGTGGTGAGG